CGGACCGTTATTTGAATCTGGTTTAGTCGTTTTTCGTTTTTGGATTTAGAAACCATAAACAGGAGAACGGCTCTTTTTTCCGTTTCTTCGTTATTGGTTTGAAACGACAAACGCAAAAAAGGTGGTTTTCTCGTTTATTCGTTTATTGGTTCAAACGAAAAAACAAACTATCAGGACGTACACGGACCTAACGTCATAATTAAACTAGTTTCTGATGTATTCTAAATATATCCACGAGCCGCCTGTCTGCAGTTAGTCAGCGTGTCTGAAATGATTAAACCAGAGCGGACATGTAAATAAACGTGAGCTGAACAAGAATCTAACACGGCTTCCTGTAGCTCCTCTTTTTGTGATGTTGTAGATGTGAAACGCTGTAGTCAGAGCTGTAACATGCTGGTTATAGTTACAGTTAAATGAAATCTCAAAGTTGCAAGTCCTTGTTGTAGACAGTCATGTAGTATAAGATGCATTCAACAGCAGCTCACTGTATCATAGACCGCATGAATTATACCGATGATGAGAAATGGTTTCTTGTAGATTTGGTTAGAATTAAAGAGTGCTGGTAAAGGGATGAACTAGGTGTGCTACATTGAAATTATGGCAGATTATGTGTAAAGTGAAATACACATGCTTATTCTCTCTCACTCTCTCTGTTTACAGATGGCTGAAAAAGTTGCACCTTCCAGCAGCAGATATTTATTGATGTGAAATTGTTTACATGTTCACTTTTTGAGACTGTATTCTATTTTATTAACATAATCCATTTAGGAAAAGGTTTTATAGCCTACAGACATACCAGCTTTCAATATCGTAATACCTGTTCTAAGTGTAGTTTATACAGTAAAGAGGCCTACTATCCAAATCATTCTCAAAATCTAAATATCGGCTCATAAATCGGCTCTTTTTCACTTTAATATCGGCATCTGCCCCCAAAAACCCATATCGGTTGGGCTGTAATTTGATTTTCCTTTAGGTTTTGACATTTTGCAGAGTAATGACTCCTGTGATTTTGTTTGCTTTTGTTCTAATAATAGAACGTGCAGTTACTTTTTCACCAGGTGTCTCCCATCCTTACTTTTGTTACTTAACATCACTGGTTACTCCCTAATACCCTACTGGGACATAACACTTAGAAAAAAACCTCTTGGAGTGATGCCTGACACCCAACAGGAAGTCGGCCATTTTGAATTTAATGATAATTTTTGGCGATCTACACCGTTTTGCTGTGCAGTCTAAATCGATTGATTATTAGGAGTTGTACAAACTGTAAGTTTTTCGTCAAAGGGTATGTCCGTGGCATGGCGTTGAAAATAGATGATTCACCATGAAACAGGAAGTTGTTATAACTTTAGTGTATATGCTCACATCTGTACCAAATTTGACATGTTTATTGATGGTCCCACCCTGAACACATACATACCAAAATTCAGTTATAGTCATAGAGCCACCTACTGGCAACAGGAAGTAAGCTGTGTGTGATAATCATCACATGATGTTTCACGATGTGTTACACACTTGATGAAGTGGAACAAAACGTATAATTACCTGGCGTTCTCTAGCGCCATATATGGGAAACAGGAAGTGACGTTTAACTCCTACCTGTAGTGTCCAAATTTAGCAGAGCTGAGGCGTCTGCGTCGTCTGCAGCACAGCTGCTACAAGCTTCACGTGTGAGAGTCCGTGCAACACTGCTTGCAGCTTTTATTTTTCAGTTTTCTTGAGATCTCGAGTTATTTTGTCATTATCTCGAAAATACAAATGTTGTTTTTCCAAGATAACGGGATAACTTTCTCTACGTAACATTAATGGGCGTCACTTATAAAGACTGTTTATACGGTTACAGCTTTATCAGTGGCCTATCGCATTTAATTCATTATTGTCTATTTAAGATCTTGAATTAATTAAAATGTCATTATCTCAGGAAAACAACATTTTGTTGTGGATTTTGGGTCCTAGTGGAATTATGTTCCTGTTTAGACTCATCCTAGTGTGTGTGTTAGTGTTTATCCCTCCCTGCCCCTGTATTCTCTTTTAGATTCTGTTGGTATGTTCCTGCTTTATGTTGTCTGTTGTATTTTGGAATACTCGTCCTTGTGTATTGTCACTAACTTTACTTCCTGTTTTATTTTTCAATCATTGGTGTTTGGTGTTTTATCTAGCTTTGTTTCTTGTTTGCCTTGATTCCTCATGTGTGTCACCTGTGACTAATTACAGTGCCTGCTTGTGTGTGTGTGGTGTGTCCCAGTACATTTTTCCCTCTGTTGTGTTCAGTCTTTGTTGCGTTACAGTTGTATGTTCTGCTTTGTGCTCTGTTTCCCCCTGGATTTCTGGATTGTTTCAATTCATTTAAATTCAATTAAGATGTACATTTTTGACGTCTATTTTGCATTAATAAAAAATCTTGCTCATTTCGTATTTTATGAAATGCTGTCAAAACACATTCAGGCTATGCAGCTAATAGCCTAATGAAAAACTAAATTTTAAACTAGGCTACATTTATTTGTTTCAGCACCACAGTCATCTTCCAACCAGAAATTTTCACATCATATCCAACATGATATGTTCCAATCAGTGTGACTACAATATATTGTAGTCACACTGATTGGTTTGATATATCAAAGATTACTGTTCATTGATCAGTTTTATACAGATTAGTGTAAACAGTGATTACTGCAGTAATGTAGGTCACGGTAAGTGTTTTTGTGCATCTGTTGCCAACCTGACAGCTGCCTAAATGTCCAGAGTCTCAGTGCTATAAAGAAGGACAGTATAGCTTATAGATTTTATTCTGTGCTGAGGATAAATCCACGATGTCCAAAGATAACTCTCTGTCCATACATTGATGACAGATTGATCATTAAAGTGGTCATGTTCAAGATCATGTTCGGGTTAAAAACTAATAGCCTATCTATCCGCGATATCGATGTTTCTAAAGACGTAATTGCATTCCCATATGTGCTTTGACAGTATGAATTAGGAAATCTCAGACAGCTGCTTCAGCCTCTGGAGGATGGGAGGAGTCAGAGAGAAACTCCGCGTTTGTTGAAGTAAACCTCCTCCCGAGGAGGTTAGGTTCACAGAGTAAGTTGCCGGGGTTACTGATTTAGGGTTTATCTGATCTCGGTCTCTAAAACCGAAAACCCAGCATTTCCCTCATCTCAGGCTTAAGAAGAGTTTTCACTAAATCCACTTTCTGAAATGGGGCTCAGGGCTAGACCGCACTCTATGATGTTATTTACAGAAACCAAGCAATTCCCACCAAGAGCAAGCACTATGCGACAGAGGCAAGGAAAAACTTCCTTTTTAGTGGCAGCCATCTGCCTCAACTGGTTGAGGGTAAGAGAGAAAGGGCGAGAGAGAGACATAAAGAGGGTGACAGGGGAGCAGCCTACACAATATACACACAGAGGTACAGACAGTAAAGGTAATGTTGCTATAGACTGAATGAATAATGGTACAGATATTTGTAGTAATGTTAATGATAATAATAACAATAGGACTAGTAACAATAATTGTAGCAGAGCATGTCCAGGAGGAACACGGGGGCAACAGGTGACCCCACAACCACAGATCCAGACTCCGCAGCTCCAGAGCCAGAAACACCTGCAGGAAGTGATAGGAGGAGAGGGACGAGGAATCACAAGACTACCAGAAAGGGGAGAAGCCGAGTTACTAACATGCATTAATGGGATGAGGTTGCATACAGAGAGAGAGAAAGTAGAGGAGAGAGGAGCTCAGTGCATCAAGGGAAACCCCCCGGCAGTCTAGGCCTATAGCAGCATAACTAAGGGATGGTTCAGGACTCACCTGAGCCAGCCCTAACTATAATCTTTATCAAAGAGGAAAGTCTTAAGCCTACTCTTAAATGTGGAGATGGTGTCTGCCTCCTGAACCCAAACTGGAACCTGGTTCCACAGGAGAGGAGCTTGATAGCTGAACGCTCTGGCTCCCATTCTACTTTTGGAGACTCTAGGAACCACAAGTAACCCTGCATTCTGGGAGCGCAGTGCTCTGGTGGGGTAGTAAGGTACTATGAGCTCTTTAAGATAAGATGGTGCCTGACCATTAAGAGCTTTGTAGGTAAGAAGAATGATTTTAAATTCTATTCTGGATTTTACTGGAAGCCAATGCAGAGAAGCTAAAACAGGAGAAATATGATCTCTTTTCCTGGTTCCTGTCAGAACACGTGCTGCAGCATTCTGGATCAGCTGAAGAGTCTTAATGGACTTTTTTGGGCAGCCTGATAAAAAAGGAATTGCAGTAATCCAGCCTAGAAGTAACAAATGCATGGACTAGTTTTTCTGCATCAATTTTAGACAGGATGTTCCCGATTTTCGCAATATTACGTAGGTGAAAAAAGGCGGTCCCTGATATTTGCTAAATGTGAGAGTTAAACGACATTTCCTGATCAAAGATAATGACAAGATTCCTCACAGTGGTGCTGGAGGCCAGGGCGATGCCATCAATGGAAACTATATCTTTAGATAATGCGTCATGGAGGTGCGTGGGCCCCAGTACAATAACTTTTTTTAACAGTTTTATCTGAGTTTAACATTAGAAAATTACACGTCATCCAGGTTTTAACATCCTGAAGGCACATTTGGAGTTTAGCTGACTAATGAGTATCATCTGGCTTGATCAATAGATATAACTGAGTATCATCTGGCTTGATCGATAGATCAACAAACATGTTTATTTACAGCATTAAACGTTGAAATGTATATTGTAATGGGCTGTATGTTAACTTATTGGGAGAGAACTGGTAGTTCTATGTAAAATCAGATGTTGAGCACCCCCATATCGCCAAAATGGCATGATCCTAGTTTCACTGCGAAGCTTCGACTGTGAGATTGTCGAATCAGGCTCCGCCCATTGAAGCATCGAATCTTCGACTATTGGGGATCAGCCCTACTCTGGATGATCCATAAACCTCGGAATTTTAACATTTAATAATATTTTTAATAGTATTTCAATTATATATTTATATTTTCTTTATGAAGGTGAGAACAAACTTGGATTTGAAGCTCGAGATCTGGGACTCGGACTTGCAATATGATGACCTTCTGGGATCATGTAACAGGAGTTTGATGGAGGGGACAAACACAATCTACTGCCCGGCCGATCCAGGCTACTTGGAGGTCAAGTACACTCTCACCTGCGACCCTTATCTGACTGGAAATAAGTGTCAACGTTATAAACCATCTCCACAGTGAGAAATGTATTTTGAGGCTTTGAATGTTTGTTTGGTCACTCGTTTAACAAGAGAAGGTGCAGGACAAGAATTGTTAACTTTGTTAGTTCAAGAGGATGCTTCAGCAGGCGAGCTAATGTGATTTGCAGATTAGGTTTCCATCTGGCTCAGTGTGACCGTTTGCTCTGCCTACAATAGACCACTAGTGCTGCTGTATGCAATATTTCATAGGCTGGATACAAAATTACAGGGGCACCATAAAATAAAATATATTTTTTTGAAAAAAAAAAAAGTGCTTAGAAGTGTAATGAACCAGTCACACTGGTACACTGACACACAGACAATGTTATATGTCAAATGTCTGTGGAACTCATACAGTTATTTTCTTAAGACATCACAATATTTACTTTTCTCTTTTACTTATGATTATTTTAAATCATCATTGTGTTTGGTTTCCAACTCATTTTCATTTAAAATTTAGGCTTGTGAGCACAAACTTTTGGATGTAAACATTAATCAGCTGCTGTGTACTCAAGTGGTGAATTTTGATGGGTGAGGCAGTTTACATTTGGACTGCAGATTGGTTAGCTGGTGATCTTCATATTTCATTTTCAAATCTTTGTTTTGTCACTTTTTGTGTAACCTTCTCATGCAAATAAAGACTGGCATAACATGCATTTAATGTCTTTAAAATGATTATTTGGAATTGTGTTTTTTTCCAAAGCTATACATAGGCCTACATTCAGGTACACTTGATGTACTGAGCACTCAAGACCATGTCAGTGCTGCAAACAACCAGTGCGCCCTACACACAACAAATTGATGAATAACTTATGGCAGAATTTCCAACATGATGCAAAGCTATAAGCACTCTGTTTGAGTCAGAAGGACTTTTGATAACATAAACCGACAACTCTGCATAGCAGCAGGAATTTCAACCAACACGCAACCAAATAATAGATGTGATGCACCAAATAACCCTACCAAAATTGTATTCACGGGTTGTTTCTGCTGTCCCCAAGTGGCCAGAAATCTGTTATTGCAAGTTTAATTTGCCAACTGAGCTAAATAGGGGGCTCATGCTTATTCTAGCCTACTATTCAGAATAGGCCTAATAATGTTTGTGTTGCTTCTTCACAGCTCCTGAACCAGGCCTCTGTTTATCAGCTTGTTTTGTGGTAGGATAGGCCTAACTAATTCTGCCTTGATGTGCGGGTAGAAAACGATTGATGTAGCTCTATAAATGACCTTATAGGCTACTGGCAAACGACAAAAACTGAATGATACTGAAGCAAAACAAACGTCTCCATCCTGTTCTGGGTACCAGATATGGTTTCCAAGGCTCCCTGTCTGATACACAGTGTGGTATAAATATAAACGCGCTAATGATCTGCTGCCGCCCTCTCATGTCTTCATGCCTCCTATGGTTGAAGGTTTCCTGTGTTGCGTTTATTCGCTGTGTAAAAAACAGCTCCTGCCGCGACCACTGGATTTTTTCCTCTGATCTTGGGAAATGCCAAAAAGACCGCACGGAAGAGCCTGGAGGCGGTGTAAACCCCTCTCCCCCGCCGTCTCTCTGTCCATCCCACAGTAGCCTATTACAGGACGCACTGACCGACACACGTGTATTTAATTTAGGTGACTGTGCAGAGCTGTGTCCCTGACAGAACAGCGGTTTCCGTTAGGAGGAAATGATGGAGAAGGAAAGTTTCTGACGCCTCTCCGTACTTTCGGGACTGTCCGCAGGAAAACTGGAGATCATGTAGGCGATCGTTTTGCTCGGTTCGCTTGTCCTCATCATAACGACAGTAAGTCTGAACAATCTGTATGGATTTGGGATTAATAGGGTCTTCAACTCTGAAATGTCTCAGGATTGGAAATGCAGCTCCACGTCTGTCTGTTGCTTTTTATTATCACAACAGGTAAGGAAATCGGCCACATTCCTACTATGAATCTCATTATGTAGCCTACTCCTATTATTTAGCTCGAACTAATTTTTTTTTTTTTACCTCATGTCTTCAAAAAAATCTTTAAATTACATTAGCCTGTCTAAGAATGAAAAATACCACATATTTTGAACTACCCACAACTTATATCCATAAACAACATCATGCAGAGGTCAGGGGATTTGTGCCAGGGAGATTCCCTCTTTTACCAGCATCTTTTTTTTTCTTTCCTCAGATAAAACATTGGCCTTGTCGCACCACCACTGTGGTGGAAAAATCAGCTTTGACCAAGAGCCTGCTGGTCACATTAATCTCACCTTACCTGGACTTTTTACTGATCCCAACAGACTCAACCCCACAAACCACCCATCTGACAAAACCCTGCCTGCTTCTGTTTGCACTTGGATGTTAGATATTCCTCTGGGTCGGACGGTACTTTTAAAGTTAATATGGTTGGAAAGTGGTTCAAACATATCAGTGCGCTGTGTTTGGAACGAGGAAAAGCAGCTCCTGGCGAGCGGGGGTACAGCTCTGCTCTCCGACTGTGATACAAACAAAGCCACCATCTCTTGGACAGGAGCAGGATACTCTTCAAATGTAATTCAAGTGTCCTATTATGGTGAGAAACTGTTATCCAGTTATCCAGTTTAGTTTATTGAGTCAGGCACACTTGGTTGCATGTGCATCCATACCACGAGAGTTTGATCTAATTGTCGTAATAACATTTGGATCAAACTTTTTTTAGAGCTGTGTCTGACTCATGTCTCAATGAATACATGAAAATAGTTTTTGTTTACTGTAGAAGAATATTGTGGAAATGTATTGTGTAAAATGTGTCTGTCGGAAAGTTCTTGTCAGACTTGCTGTGGTGCGAGAGTCAGAGAGATGTTATGTTGTTGTGATTTCCACTCTGTTCCTCCTCACCCTTGTGTGTATGTTCCTGGTCATCCAGTCCAGGAAGATAAGAAGAATTCCTCGGAGGACCACACCAGCCCACATTCAGACCAAAACCTCTTACGATGGTCTCAGACAGGAAGCAGCTTTATGAGCCCAGCTCCTGTCGGTCAAGAGGTGGTGAGGGGGACAGAAGGGGGCAGAGGTCGCCTCTTTGAAGGTCGGGAGTGGAATTCTGCGCCTCCGTCTGCGTCTAGTACCTCCTCTCAGGACCAAGGGCTGCTGCACCGCACCTCACCCCTGCAGGGACTCACTGTGGCTGGTAGAGCCGATAGGGAAACTCACCCTCTTCCTGAGGAAGAACCAAACAATAGAGCGGATACATCTGTAGCTGCTCACCTCACTGATGGCCCCATGTCTGCCAGAGAGCGAACACACCCCTATTTTCAGCCTACACGCAGTACAGACACACTGTTTCACACATCACACACAACAAACACAGAAACAAACTCTTACAAAACTCAAACTCTCCCCCAAACCCAAATGGCAGTGATACATGCATCAGCCAGTACTTCCAACACTTTGCATGGCACAGAAATACACAAACAAACAAACACTGCAACCACACAAGCTCCCCTTACTGTGTCCAGCTCAAGCATCCCACCTCTCACCTCTTCTCCCCCTGAGCCACCTCTCACCTCTTCTCCCCCTGAGCCACATTCCTGGACACCCTGGGTGAGGAGAGCTGTTAGTGGGGCACCTGGAGAGAAACTACCACATTCCTGGAGGAGCCAGCGAAGCACAGACAGACTTGACTCTGATTTGACTTCCACCGTCACCTCTGACCCTTTAAAATCTCCCACCGAACCTCACCAGGACAACTCAAGCTGTGCACACACTGATACTGAACCCACTGCGTCGTCATCATATTCACAGGGCCCCAGCAGTACTCAGTCATCCACCACCCACATCACAGGGCTCGACACTGCTGTTGATACTGTGGAGGCGGCTTCATTTCATCAAAACATTAGTCGAACTGACTCATTTGTATCTACTGCATCCGATCTTACCAGACAGACTGCTATGTTTGAGTCCTCAGAGATGCTTCACACTTTCACTTCTTCCACACAGAGTCAAACAAACTCTCCGCAAAGCACAGAGAGCATCACGCACTCACCGCCTCCCTACACATCCTCCCAGTTCACACAGACGAGCAAAGAGGGGACACAAACAGCAACACAAAGAATCTCCTCCTCGCCTGACATTACAAAAAGGGATGACTGGACTTTCACAGCTTCTTCTTCTACATCCAGAACAGCACTGACGTTGGGAGATGTAGTCCAGAACTCAGCTGCCACAGGAACGACTGCTGACACTGAAACGTTTACACTGCGTCCCACTTCTACGCTCTTACATGACAATATGCCTACAAATTCATCGACTCCTGGTCCCGTTTTGTCATCCAGTATATCCATACAGTCATCTACACCTTCATACATGTTCCAAACACACACTGCATTTCCTGATAGTTCACATTTCACTCACACACCCCTGCCTTTGCCCTCCACTACCACTGAATCCGCTGCACACCCACCCTATATCAACCGCGAAACCGTGCCTATACCCTCACAAACGTCAACAATAAAATCTATATCTTCACAGATGCCTCATTCACATAACCACATGTCTTTGCAATCTTCTACTGTCCCAGCCACGCAAAAACAGTCCCATGACTATATACATACTACACTTAATTCTCAGCTCTTAATCACAACTACAAAATCAGATTACGGACTTGGAGATAAAGAGGGAGAAGCTGAGAGAGAGGATGAGTCTCAGATGTTGTTTCCCAGCAGCACAACCACACAAACTCCCACAGCTGGACTTCCACAGCAATCCCCAACCCGGGAAACCCCACATCCCAGCCAGAAGAACCATACGACGCTGACACCTTCTGTTTTAACATCCGTGCCCACTTGGAGCTCGACAACTAGTCAGACACCCAAGTTCTACATTGAGCCAGACCAGCCTGCGGCCATCAGAGGTATAGTACTTTTTTTTTGTGTCATGAAATAGAAGGTTGGGGTGTCCAGGGCTGTTGTAATGTATGAAGTTATTGGCTTGTTCTGTCCAGTGAAGTCAATTGAGCTGCTGCTTCAGATCATTGTGAAGGAGTCCCGATCAGCTTTAACTTCTGGCTTAGAGGAAGAAACTGCTGCCTGGGTGAGAAATAATGTGTACACACACAGGGATACAGAAAGGCATGAATAAACATGTTCATATACAATATCCTTAGTATATTATTTAGTAGCTGCTACAAAGTTCTCCCTCCATGTTTCATTCAGGTGGAACCATACCTACAGAGAGCCCCAGGGTTCAGCAAGCTGCTGGGAGTCTGGAGCAGGTGAGATTTTATACGCGCTGTAGCTAAGCTGCAGTGCCCTATTTAGGCCTTGTTGGTGCAGTAGGCAGCGTGTCAGTCTTAACCTGAAGGTTGTGAGTTCAAGCCTCACACGGGGCAGTGGTTCAGGGGCGGATGTAGTCCAGACCAGAAATCCAACACAGACCACAGTAATGGAATGTGGACTGGCAGCTGAAGAGGTGCCAGCTCACCTTCACTCCTTGAGCAACAGCCCCATCACTCTAACATCTCTCCCAATAACTACATGTCTATGGGTCCCGTGTGTGTGAGAGAGATAGTAACAGTGGAGTGAAAAAATGTAACTTCCCCCAAGGGAAAATGTAATTGATGAAGTAATTCTTCTTCTTCTTACATATATTGCCGTTACAGATGTTAACGTGAAATATTCTGAAAAATAAATTACCCCTTCCTTAACTTTTATTTAGCATATTATAACAGCAACATTATACCTGCTAAACATTGTGAGCGTATTAGCATGCTGCTGTTAGCATTTATCTCAAAGCCCAGATGTGCCTATTTATAGTCTCATAGAACTGCTAGCATGGCTGTAGACTCTTAATCTTGTTGTAAAATACAAGCTAAATGTTAATGTGTTATTGATGGGGGAAAAATGTAATACTTTCACTAGCATCATAACATGATGACACCATTTTTAATGTCTGTTCAGTGTTGTACAGCTTGATCAAGGGATTATGTCAGTTCTGACTACAATCTTTGTTTGAATTAGGAAAAAGAGGAAAAGGCTTGTATCTTGCAGAAGAGTCTTTGATATTTTTGGATATACTTTCAGAACAGCAATTAGTGTTGTTAAATAACCCTCTGGGTTTTTCACAGATGACCAAGTATTTTCAGAAAATCTGATGCATAGCTCTGTGACTCTAATATAATGATAATACATGTAAGGCACAAACTGGGGCTCTAGATTTCAGAAGTTTGTGTAAAGAAAGGTGAGGAGGTTGAAGGTGTACTGTTCTGCTGTTGTTCCAGTGGCCATGCAGTGCAGAGTCTGGTGGAGTTTAAAACCAGCGGGGCTCTGCAGTGGCTCAGCATGACAGGACCAACATCACTGTTGGAACGAACAGGACTGGCTCAGGCTGTTCGCGAGGGAAGGAGCTTCAGATTGTCCAAGATCACCAACATCACACTGGGAGGTAAGCCTGGGTTGGGATGCCCACCTTTAGACAGCTGACTAAAGATTCCTAGCTTTGGGTGCCCTGGTGACCTAGGGGTTTAAAGCAAGTCTGTCCGAGCACCATTGCACATTGTTCTCCACCTCTCACCTCATTTCCTGTCATCTCCTTACTGTTGACTCTGAAATAAAGACACACAAAATACTTTTACTTAAAGGTTAGAGGTCAGCTACAGTGGCTATATTTATCTGAGCGGGAATTCCATTCTTAACCTGCTTACTTTATTAACCCAGTTACAGGCAGAATCATGTAAACATTATAACTCTGTTAGATTGACTCAGTTATACTCACAATCAAGTTACAATCAAGTTAGAAATCTGATTAAAGGGTCTGGCTTACTCTGATATTAAACGTGTTTCTATGGCATCTGGTAGTGGCATCTTTCACTTTGGTGTTTGCCATCTACACACATACATACTGGCACACGTGCTGTGGCTGCATTTTAAAGTTGTCAAAATACAAGGAGGGGAGAAACAAAGTATTCTGTTGGCAGACTCTTTGACGCAGTAGGGATGTTTGTTTGCAGAATATCAAATGCTACTATACAAACATCTGCCAACTCTGCATGTAAACATAGTCACTAAATAGACCTAAATATTACAGAACCTATATATTTATTATTTTATTTGCAAATGCTCTGCCACACATGCACCATGATCTGCAAAGTATTTCAGCAATTTCTTTTTTTTATAGCACAGTGTGGACTTGTGATTGAGTACCATAGACAGAGTAAGGAAGTCAGAAAGTGCTGATACTGACACAGTGTTGGTTTTTGGTCTTTATGTTTTTTTTTGTTTTGTTTTTTTTTGACAATAATAAAAATGTAGAATCACACCAGCCTTATCTTTTAACACATCTTCCTCCTCCAGGTCTGCAGGGTGACGTGTGTGGCTGGTTACTACAGTGCCAAGCAGGCTATATGTGTGTGTCCCAGCCTGGCACTTCTAACTACAGCTGTTCTTCTGTCTGTCATTTTGACTACTGCCACCACCATGGCATCTGTACCCACCACCCGGGCCAACTTCCAGTTTGCCGGTAAGAACACGCATAGGCACGCATGCTTGCACAATTTTCTCTCTCCATCTATCCAAGAAAGGTTTGTGCATCTAAGCGTCTTTTTGTTTGTGTATTAGCTGCCTTGTAGGAGAGGAATTCTGGTACATGGGTCAGAGGTGTGATGTGAGGATGACTCGAGCGCGGCTCGTGGGCGCATGTCTTGCCATCTTACTCATCATGGTGACAGTGATTGGCGTTTTGGCCTTTGTAGCAGTGCGACGCTACCGTGCCATTCTGATCCAGGCCAAAGTAGATCAGACTCGGAGCAGGTACACACCAACCCTGATATACACGCATGAAATTTCAGCTCACAGCATACAACCTACAATACAAAGATTAATAAACACAATGCACACTAATATTTCAAGCAGTGTTTCTGCAAAAATCTAAGAATTTTAAAAACTTTTTAATTCCACAGAGAATGCTGTTTAATACATGTTTCATGGTCATAATGGCCAAAGGATGAAAGTAGGATTGAAAACCGTTAAGGATCATATGTCCCATAATTATTTATTATTATGACATTTTTTCAGTACTTCCCAGCAGTGTATAGAAGAATCATTTCTATATGATAAAATTTATAAAATGTATCTGACCTGGACCAAGATAAGGAGCATAAAATGGATAGATGGATTAACCAATTAGAAATTAGCAGCCTAGCTAGTGTAGTGAGCAGTACATTCTAGTTTTCTACAGGTCTGATGGAGCTGACTGAAATGCCACAAACAAGGATTGAACAGCCTACTGTTGCAACAATTCTCCTTTAAGTTAATAAGTGTATAACGTAACATCTCACAACAGCCCACAATCTGATACAAAACATTTCACAACTAACATTATTGTCTATGGCAGGCAAGGGAAAATATTCATTTATAATATTATAAATAAACACTTTAAATTTAATTTACAAAAGTATTTAAATACCTTCTTTTTTGATGAAAAAACTTTCCAAGACCTTCAGATCCCCTGCACATGAAACATGAAATGTTTAGAAGATGATCTATTAAAAATAAATATGGTGAAAATGATTCAAATGATAAACTGTGTTTGTGTAACAGTGTGTGGTGAACAGCCCCATGGGCTTCTGGGTGGACCATAAAATAACACAGGAAACGCATGTTGAGACACACACACACACACACACACACACACACACACAGTAAACATACAAAAGGCATTTGACTCAACACGACCCCAAATGACTTTGATAAATGTGACATACATGACAATAACACAATAGACACCTTGAGGGGAGATCATGTGTTGACATCCAGGAAGGGAAAACCAGACACTGAGAGGGGAACAACGGCACATGCAGCAATTGTAATTACAGTGAAGTCCACTAGGTGTCATGGTCTGGCTACAGAACCACATACTGAAGCTGAAGACTGTGTCCACCCTTCTGACTTGCAAACAGACTTGTCACCACATTGTCAAGTCTATTTGGGTGCTGAGCCATAGGGGGATCAAATGTGTTTTTAGACAGGACTCACACACTTCCATGTTGTCCCACTTTAAAGTATTTTTCTGAACTTTTTGCTAGGTTATGAGCTTAAACAAGAACACATTAAAACATGTGTTGAAATGAGTGGGACTGCAAATGGGAGGAGTTTGTTCACCTTAACTGAGACTCTGTAGTTTCATCCTATTGCTGAGATTAACAGACGAAGGAAGTTCAGAGAAAGTTCAGACAGGAAGTAATAAGTCTGAAGTTAAGCCTTAAATCCATAGTGTCTCTTTCACAGTGGGGAGTGAGCATTCTGTCTAGAGGAAGTTGGACTATTAGATCAGAATTTTACTTTCTCCAACAGGCTCAGTTGACAGGAGAGCATAGTTTAGTCATTTTACATGACATGTCATCAGGAAATCACAAAACACTGTAAAGGGTTACCTCTCCCCTGATTTTCTTCAATTTCTTTCTGTATATATATAATATTAAGAAATTTTTTTACCTCAGCTTATGATTTGTTCTGTGTGCAGCTATCGCAGGTTCAACCATTTTGATGAGCTGTCAGGACGGTTTTGGTTGCGTTCGTGGGCAGGATCAGCAGACTCTCTAGATAATCCTGCCTTTACACGCTCTGATGAGTTACTACACCTGCGGGCCCTCGACCGCCCATGCTGTTACCACGACGACACGCTGTCACTGGCTTCCACCTGCCCCAGCCACGGAGCACGTATCAATACGATCTATCCCCACAGGTATGGTAATATGAATATTTAATTTGCATTAGAGTAAGTTATTGATCATGCAGGGGGCAAACACATGACTGTCCTCCTCCATCTGTCTGTTTAAAACAAAAACTGTCATCAGCCATCAGGTGGATTCACATATCAACAGGAAAAAACGTACTACAATATGCAAACAGCCTCTGCTGTCAAGCGTACCCCATATAAAGCAACATCAGATTCAAGTCATAATTTACTATGAAAATAATGATTGAGAAACATGCAAGCTAAATATATACAACCTGTTGCCTGGAGCTCTGTACAAAAGCCCAGTCCAGCCATCACTCTAAGAAGGATAAAGATGTGCCTGCCCATGGAAAACGGAACAAGACTTCTTTCTAAACAAGCTGGATCTGAAGAACTGTATACCTTTCTGAGCCTTTCCTGATGCACACATATCCAGCACCCTGCTGGCCTGATTAATTAACTTCGACACACAATCTGCAATTTTACATCACTCGAACACAAAAACCTTATACTTAATGTGAACTAATAGAGAAATGTCTATACATCTTACTTTAAACCTGCCAATTGGGGGCAGCAGAACAAGTTACAAACACAACGTTGACATTTTACCACACTATAAAGTTGTCATTGACAAATGTGATGGCAAACAAGTTACTTGTTTACACATCCAGAAGACATGAAGCAACTGTAGAAGTCATGTTTTTGGCCAAGTGACAAATGTGAGTCAAATGGAATTAGCTGAATGAAAACAATTTTTAGTGAAATTAAACTGCGTGTATCACTGATTTTGATTGACTATTAATCATGCTCTCAAACTACAGCTGAATAAATGTGTAATACACCATAAAAGTAAAAAATTATGTGAATGAATCATTGAAATCCATTATCATTGAATAAAACTATATGTCTGGCCTAATTTCCTAATCTTTATCTTATGCTTAAGTTAGTTTTTCTTGAGAAAAATGTAAACACATGTCTGTAAGTATTCACACTCATTCACACATAGGCTACAGTCAATTGACAATGTCTGTGTAAATAATCCTTTTGCTCTCTGTACTCCCTGTAGCTCTCAGTATGGTTGGAGGGGAAGTGAGATGAGCATGGGGGATGGTGTGTTGGACTCAGGTAAGGCCAGTGACCTTTCTGTCTGTAGCTGGCCTGTGGAACCCATTCAGTGGACTCCTTTCCCACTTCTGCAGCAACTGGCTTCCCACAGGACACCCACAGTGAGTTTTTGACTGATATATATATAGATATATATATATATATATATATAGATATATATATAGATATATATATATAGATATAGATATAAAATCTGGTTTCATTATGTGTTGTTCCCCTGTGAAACCAGGTGAGGGTGTCAAGGCCACGGTCCTACTGTGAAGGCATGGAGCTGGTAGACCTGGGGAAGAGCTGGACTGCTTGACATACACAAAGAAGAATAATATCTGTTCTGACACTGGTATTTGCAGCTTATTGTTGTATTCTAGGCCTCAAATGTTCTTGTTTTGTTGATAACAACTGTAAAACAATATGTAAATGTGTGTGTATATTAAGTGTATATTTTTGGTAAATTGTTGCTACATTTTCAATGTGTTTCTTATATTTTCCCTCTAACCTTCTGATGTAGGGTGTAAAAATAGAAAAAGAAAGAGGCAGTCTGAATGTCTATGGCACAGATTTGTAGATAATGCTTTAATAAACATTAATCGTACTCAGGGCAATTCAAACAAGTCATCGCTTAGCAAGGAAAGTTCAATTGTTTGTCACATTACATATGCAAAGGCAGTTAAAGTGCTCAACATAAGGCATTAAATCATTTTACAGGGTGAATTACATATATAAAACATAAATATGATATAAAGATAAATCAAGATGTAAGTGAAAAGTGCTTTAATAAATTTGACATTTTGGGAAATATGCATATTCACCTTCTTGCAGAGTTAAATGATCGATCTTCCCATCTATTTATTACATGTTCTTTCATCCAACTGCCTGTTCATTACAAAACTCACACATGACAGCACATGACAAAGGTTTACTGTAATGGTAATAAAATACAAGTTTGAAAGAAACTATAAGAAGGGAGCAATCTAATTGCCTGTGGGAGTAATTACTTCTTCAAGGCAAACGTCATCTGGACGTTTGTTCAAGGCAAACGTCCAGATGACGTTTGTTCAGACCCCCTGGGACCTGTGCTAGATCAAAAATATGTTTAAGAATTTGCACCGTACAAGTACACTCTTGTGGTCCTGTCTGATAGTGACCCTGTGTCATAATTTTGAAGACTTTATTGGGGACCCAAAAGCAAGTTTTCTGCCCCTGGGCTCCACTAACCTGGACATGGTTCAGGATCTGTGCTGCAGGGTAGCTAATTGTTATCTGCATGTTTAGTTTGACTATGGGAATGGTTAACAGACAACAGATAAGAAGCTACAAGGGCTCATATGATTAAAGAAACACAGTGAGAAGTGTATTTGACCCTAAACAATCAGTAATCATTTTAACTCTTTTCTATGACACATGGGAGGCCAGTACACAGACCTGATCATTTGAGTAATGTGTTCACTTTTCTTTGCCTTTGTCTGGTTGAAGCTGACTGTTTTTTGGGGGGTGAGGATTCTGTCTAGAAATTAGTATCTTCTAAAATTACATTTAAGAGTATTTCACACACCTCCCTCTCTTTCTCATTTGAGCACACACACACAAACCACACCTCCTCTGAATGCTTAGTGTGAAACCTATGTGGAATGTGATGCCTTACATGACTGGGAAAGACTGGTAGAGAGCGAAACAGGCAAATATGTACACCAACCTTGCATTCCTATAATTGTCTGGGGAAAAGTAATAAGGGATTGATTGATTGGGGGAGGGCGGAATGTGGCAAATAAAGGCAGAGTTGATGTGTGTTTAAGGGAGAGAGAGCGCGAGAGATGGGGAGAGGGATGAGTGAAAGTGGACAGAAGCTACCTGCTAGCTTCTTCCATATACGGTCTTAGTCTGAGCCGAGAGCCAAGCCTGTGAATTTCTCTGACTGTGTGAGTGAGCAATACAGGGAGTGTGTGTATGTGTGCGTGCGAGTGGGTGTTGTAATGCATGCGTGAGTCATGCACACCAGCAACTTTTGAAATGGTTCAAGGGATTACATGATGAGTGTCCAGAGGAAATACTGAGAAATTTCTGTCAAGGAGGAGTAAGTGAGTACAAAGTTTAAAAAAGAAAAAAATGTTGGTATCTCCTTTCTAAATGTAGATCTCTGGATGAAATATACAGAAATCAAGGTGAAAAGTGGCAAACCTAAAGCAGCATGCAAATTCACTCTAAAACACACACACACACACACACAGGCATACAGCCTTAAAAAGGGAGATTCATTCATTTCCTCAGACTGGTCACATGATCTGACTAGTGCATTCTTCCACCCATGTGACTTGCTCCAATATCTCCTTATATGGACGTCATCCAAAGGAACTCTTAAAGGGATGGTTGTCCTGTCCCTGGGTCTATACTTGGTGTGTGTGTGTGTGTGTGTGTGTGTGTTTAGTGTCTATCTAGAGCAGGATAATGCCAGTCCGAAAGCCAACTCCCTGATCAGCTCACTCACCCCCCTCTATGTTGTCCTTAGCTGCTCCATACCTGATGACATATGGGCGTTGTGTGTGTTTGTAGGTTTGTGTGGTCACTTCCTGCGTGCATCTGCAGAAGTGAAGCACTGTGAAACCTACTTCCTGTCTTTTTTGGTGAGCCAGCTCCCATATATCCTTATTAGGAACACATAGAGCCAGCAAGAATCCCTAGAATAAGTTTATGAGTCCTTGTCCTGTGCCCGTGTTGAGTTAAAACAGCACCCCAACCCATCCACTTAGTCTCTGGTCAACTTACAAGATGAGCTTTGCATGAATATTTCCTAGTGTGTTATCATAATATTAAATATGACATCTAAAGTATTTCCATTCAGAGATGCACAAGGATTTGCCTTGTGTGACATTTTCGGGTTTGTGCAAGAGCAGGTGTGTAAATGCATATCAAAGTGAGTCACATTCCTGAGTAGTAATATCATAATAGGCCTTGCAGTTTCATTTTGACACCAAATATAGGTATGTTCCTGAAATTACACACCTGTCTATTACCTCATTGAGGCAAGTAATCTGCTCCCCCCTCCCTTCACTCATTTAAACATCATCAGTCAAGTGATGAGAGATAAGATTTACAGTCTCCTGAGTGTTTGCTGTAAACATATCTCAGCTTAACCACATGTATCACTGTCACTCTGCTCTGCATGTGAGAGACATTGGTATGCTTGGGCAGACTGTCAGTCGGGGTGTTAACAGTGCTGTCAGTGACCCTGAGATTGTAATCACTGGCAACTGCTTAAGTCTCTGCCATGAGAATTAGCACAATCTTCAGAGCAATCCAGTTCTGTTGCATTCCCCTTCTGTCCTTCACTTACTTAAATTAGATGAATTATGGATCTGTTTGTCTGTGTCCGCCACTTACATTTTCCTCCAATGCACAAACATAGAACAGAAGACAATAGCATGGGTACATGAATCAAATGTGGTTAAGAGTTTGTGTAACCAGGATCTGCAGGCCCTTTCCTTAAGTGGAGGAGTAAATAAAATAATAAATGTGCTCTTTTGCTAAATGTCACCGGTTTAAAATACAATAGGCAGCTATTTCAAATCGTTTGATACTCAAGGACTCTGTTGTGAGTTCTGTGATTTATTGCCCACTTGTGTATCACACTTGCGTATCATCCCCATTGCGATCACAATAACGAGGAATATAGATAGGCCTATAAAATGTGTTTTATTGAACACGGAGCTCCAGAGTGGTAATATTGATAGTATATAGGTTAGTTTCGTGGTGCTTGTCCCCTCTGTCCTGTCAGAGCGCAGAACCGTTATCTACATGCGCCACACCCAGTGGATGCGGCAGAACCAATCACAGGGCGCCGTGCGGAAAGTTCTCCTTATATGGAAAGGGGCTGCAGCACGAGCTCTGATAAAACCCTGCAATTTATTGGACTCCATTGCAGTCAAGCCCAGACACTAAATCCTACCAGAGTGTAGCGCTCAGTCACAGTCCTCCTAAGCCGAGAACCCTCCCTCACACAGGTAAGACTACTGCGGAATGGAGACGAAAGTTTTTGCTCATATTTGAAATTATTTTCTTTAATATATAAGACGCGTTTTAGCCAGAAAACTGAATTTAGTCCACCGGTTAAGTTATGATGTAAGGTTTTCTGTATGACTTTCCTCAAGTTGATGCAAGCGTTGAACTGTTTAAATGCACTCGGTCATTCATTATGTTTTCCTTATTATGCATCCTAACGTTATGCAGCTGTTGGCTTTTTAACAGTTACCAGTAACTTCTTACGTATAGAAATGTGTTGGCATGCTGTCGTTTATATTTAACAGATGAGTGAGAAATAACCCGGTTGTCATCACTTCATCAGTTTAACAAATCAGACTGCGTTAAATCCGTTAAATCTTGACCTTCTCGCTTTACATGTAAGCATCTGCTTTGGCACGATCTCCCAGTCTGGTGTCTCCGATTTCACACAGACCGATGATGATGATAGATTAGACGGATTGAATGTAGCAGGCGTTATTAGCTAACGTTAGGTGTGTAGAAATGGTAATAACTTGCTCTGACATTACAGGTGTTAACGTCATTTGACAATGAAGTTAAGGTTACTTATGTTAGAAATGTCATTTAGAAGTTGGCTTTTTCTTTCACATAACCTTGTTAACTGTGGTGGTCACGACATAACGGTAACGTTACACTTGATGACAGACATGACAGCGGTGGAAGTTCATTCACCTCGACTGTTAACACTGCTGTTTTTAAAGAGATGTGTTGATGGTTAACCTTAAATCCGTTATGGTGATCCCAGTGAAGGGAGTGGCCCGTTGTCTGTGTCATTTGAGGTTTAACGACAACACGGGGCGGCTTCACGGGCCGGGCTCCCGCCGTCTCCTAAGCTGCTCTCACTTTTGCCTTATATGGCCATGGCCAGACCGAGGGAGAAACTGCCTTTGTTTCCCAGCTCTGGATTTGGACTGGAACCTGCGCCACTGCGACATCCAGCGTCCAGTCTCCATAATGACAAGACTTTAACCGAGTTGATGTTTGCCAGATGCAACACGCAGCTGTCACAGAGCACCAGATTTACAAACACTCTCCCCCCTTTTATCCCTCCCCTCTCTCAATGTCCAGAAAATGGAAGACGAAATCGCCGCCCTCGTTGTTGACAACGGATCCGGTATGTGCAAAGCTGGCTTTGCAGGAGATGATGCTCCACGTGCTGTGTTCCCCTCTATTGTTGGACGTCCCAGACATCAGGTACTGTTTCCCTATAATATCTAAATCAAACTATATAAATAACAAAGCTTGTAAAAACTATTCCATGTTTCTGTAAATTTCGTTCTTGATTTTTAACTTGTTTTCCTGTTTGCATCCTAGGGTGTGATGGTTGGTATGGGCCAGAAAGACAGCTATGTTGGTGATGAGGCACAGAGCAAAAGGGGAATCCTCACCCTGAAGTACCCCATTGAGCACGGCATCGTCACCAACTGGGACGACATGGAGAAGATCTGGCATCACACCTTCTACAACGAGCTGAGGGTTGCCCCCGAGGAGCACCCAGTCCTGCTCACTGAGGCCCCCCTGAACCCCAAGGCCAACAGGGAAAAGATGACCCAGGTAACAAGGGCTGACAAATCCTATCAATCAGGAAACCTGCTCGGCTCACCTGCAGGGCCGGGCGACAGGAAAATGTGTTGCAGCTAAGGCATTTCTTCTTCCACTCAATCTGTCTGGTTTCCTCCTGCTCCTTCAATCTCCAGGTTTCCTCTTTCCTGTGCTGACTTTTTTTTTTCATCTCTGCGGATGCTTCAGGTTTCTATCTCTCTA